GGCAAAGACAAAGTGGGAAGGATGAGGGGGGGCCTTGCCCCTGGGGCTCAAGACGCCTTTCAGGGGGGAGGCTGTCAGGGCCCACACGCCCCTCAAACCCCTTTCGCTCCCTAGAGCATCTCTGCTAGCCGGGAAACACAGCACGGTACCCAGACGCGTAGCAGGGCGGTTCCGGGGGGGAGAGGGGTTGCAGGGGGGGTGGTACCAGTAGCCTCCTGAGCCTGCCATTTCGTGCCACTACTATTTAGACGATCCCAGCCTACTGCCGTACTTGTGGCTCTGTCATCACACTGTGCCCGTCTACTCGTATCAGGTGTAAGCTTGTTTCTATAGCCTAAAGAAGGTGCCAACAACCCAAACTATCATTTACTTGTACTGTGAAGATGTACACAGGAGCTGCTCCACCTCAGTCGAACGCTACCCCAACCATATGGTGCTGCCTGCACACCACAGTGCAAAGTGTTCACACTTAGATGTGCATGGCTTACTCTTTGAGACAAGCATCTGACTACTGGCAGGATCAACCAGGTAGCGGGTGTGACGAGCAGCCGCAAGGAGCGATGGCCGAGGCGCACGTAGGCACGTCACGCTGGACAGCTACCAAAAGAACGCCGAACAATTGTGGAACGTGCAATGAGCCACCAAGACGACGCGAAGTCCGGCTGTTTGAATTGCAGGTGAACTTCCCCTCCGCAGGCCATCTCCAACGGCAAGGTACCGCACAATCCAACACAGCCCGACACACCCGCTCACAAGATTGGATGCGAACAGCACCCGCCCACACCACACCCTTAGATCGCAAGATAACCACACTCTTCGAAACAACGGCACGCACGAAGGAACCACCTACCGCTTTGGCTCACAGCCGGATGCCACCGCCCGCCCAAATCATACCGACACGGAAGTGCACCGCCTCATCTCTCCATCGAGAAACGCGAGTGAAGAGAGAAACGAATGCACCACGCATCCAACACGCTCGGACGGACGGAAAGCCTCCACCTGTGCAACGGGGGCGCAAAAGGAACACACCCCTTCCCCCCTGGATCCACATGTGCCTGTTGTCGCAGGCACCACCAACAGCACTCGACGCAGGCGAAACCCAGGAGACAGAGGACAGTAGCCTTCAAAACCCACAACCTAAACCCAGCTGAAGAACAACACAACGCGATCCGTCACGGTGTGCAGCATACCGAGACTACAGCATGGGGGACACGACGGGCACAAGCGCGCATTCCAACAAGTCAGGCGGATGACGGGCCCAACCTCGCGACGCCGTCAGAGGGTGCATCACGCATCCCACAAGTTTCCGCCTTCGCATACGGTAATCAGCGGGTGCAGGGCCGAGGCCAGCTGCGCCAACTCTCAATGGCGCCGCTCGGATGACGAAGAGCGCAGAGACTCCTCACCAATTCGTGACACCCCCTCAACACAAACGGAACGCGCCGTTGTGAGTGCGGACACGAAGACGACACCACAACAAAGCCACAACCGCTCTCCCCGAAAGCTACGGAATAAGGGCGCCGAAGCTGGGAGTCGGTGACGGGCTCCTCCGCCTCCACACCCTGCAAACRACCGCCAACCGGACCGCCGTCGGCGATCAGGCACCAACCGTCGCAAGACGATGAGCGAGCGTGAACGCAACGATCCACAACCCGACACCATGGCATAGGAAAGCCCCGACAGCCGCGACCGCTGCCAGCGACGACCGAGCTGTCGTGAAATAAGCCCTCCGAGAAAGACGACCATGGACCCGCACTGCGCCGCAAAAATGTTCGCTCGACCACGAAAGAACGACTCGCCGGTCTCTCGCAAACTGGAAACCACCCAAAGCGTGTGCAGAGAGTCCCTCGTAACTCGAGTACAAGGTCCCAAAACCCACGCCCGGAACGTCGCCTTCRTCGACTGCAAGGGGGCTGCTAAGCACGCAGGCCCCTATAAGAGTGCAAACGGGACTCCGAACCGCCAACCACCGACTGTTTGGCACATCCGGAGGGAGCTCACTGAGCCATCCGCCGAGGGACCTGCACATGTCCCTTTCCAGCAAGCTGACTGAACACACCCCAATGGCGATGTCCCGCTCGGGACCTCGTCCCTTTCCGCTCTCAATAAGACGCCTATGGACCTTGGATCCTGGGAGACCCCATTTTGTCGGGGCCGTTCCTACGCCCGAGTGGCGGTGTGCGGTATCTGCTGCCCCCACAAAATTCGACACCTCAAGAGTCCGTCCCATCTCCCTCCCTTCCACACACAAAGGGATAAGCGGAGGGCCGGGGGGGAAAAAATAAATACATTGAAAGAAAAAAAAAAAGAAAAAAGAAAAAAGGGACGAAACAAACAGAGAAAAGGCCAAGCAGCTTCNCTCAGCCTTAATCGACTATGGAATTCGACACTCGCGTCGGGGACCTGCTGGCCCCACCAGATTGCAACCTGCTGCGGTAAGGCTCTGGCTGGCCCTAACCTGTCTCTTATACACATCTAGATGTGTATAAGAGACAGGTGTGGGAGTGAAAAGTTTACGGGAAGTCTGGCAGAATCGTGCGTCTGTTGTTGGGTTATGTATTGGCGAACATGACCGGACACGCACTCCAGAAAAAGAAGGGGGGAAAGAAAAGTCAAGGATGACTTGACAAGTCGTCATTTCAATTTGTGTGGGCCGCGAAAAAAACTGCATCCTGCAGAACAAGCGAGGCCGAAAACCCGATGGCCATAAGCATTTCCATGCATGTCCCAGAGAACACCATAGAGCCAATCAGGTACTGCCTCCAGTGAAGCAGCCCGCCATGATCACGCGCATGCGCGGGGAGGGCCGGATAGGGCAGGAAGTGGGCCGTTTGCCCCCGCCATGAACATCATTGCGCGGGCGGGGGGCGGGGGGGGGGGCAGGAAGTGGCCTTTCTGTTCCCAAAGCTGGGGGGCGCGCGGCCCCACCAAGATCATGACTACGCAGTCGCGTGGCGAGGGCCACGTAGGGCAAGAGGTGGGTATTTTGTTCCCAAGCCAGGATATTACGCACACACATGGGGAGGGCCAAATAGGATGAGAATTGGCTTTCCAGGTCCCAAACACCAGGGGCATGCTTCGCGCGCCCCCACCACGATTACGCTTGTACGCAGGGGGGGCCAGACACCCTCTGTCTCTCCCCCTCTACTAAAAATCTTCCGTTAAATTGATTGAATACTTGCTTGAGCAAACTTTTATCTATAGAATGAGAAGATTCAGAATTTTGTTTTCATCATGAAAGAAAGGTGAATCCAATAGAATAAAATAAGTCAAAAAAAAAAAAAAAAAACCATCAACATAATATTATAGACGTATGTACATAGTACACGTTTGCATTTTGTTTGAATACTTGAAGAATAACGTTTTTTTTTACTGAAACAAAGGTCGCCCGCCACATCGTGCGTAAGTGTACAATGTGGCACTCACGTCGATCCAGCCTTTGGTCCCACGCCTCCGTGCAGCCAAGAGTGGCAGGCCGTATGGGGCGACATCGGACAATGTGTCATGCACAAACACCCACCGGGTCAAGTACAGGAAGACACGCGGACACATATCCATGCTTTCAGACAGATGGCGCGCCGCAGTGGCCAAAAGCTTACAACATGGCACCCACCCCAACATGGGCTCGGGCACAGTTCTCCTTTCAGCCGAAAGCCGCGTACCACATCAGGCAAAAGGGGCTTCAGACGGAAGCAGCAAAACTGAAAAAAAAACAAGGAAAAAATAAAAAAGAACCAAGAAGCTCATGGGCCCCTACACAAGGGCGACGGCTCTCTTCAGACGCGAATGACCGTTGTTCAAACATTTGAGGAGGGGTGGGGAGCCAGAAGGTGGGGGAAATCTTTGGAACAAAGGGCCGAATCTCAACAGATCGTGACGACAAGGCCACTCTACTGCTTACAACACCCCGTTCCCTGTCTAAGTCGTCTGCAAAGGGTTTGACTCCCCGAGCGAAAGAAATTGCGATGAAGAGACCCCCTGGGCATCGGTGCTCCACCGCAGGAGGGACAACTCCGAACTTATGCTTTCGGGGCCAGACGGGCTGGCCCTATCGACAACCTTGTATCATCCGAGGAGGCATACGCCGTCGCTGCAAGCACAGATTCTGACTTAGAGKYGTTCAGTCATAATCCCACGCACGGTAGCTTTGCACCGCTGGCTTTTCAGCCAAGCACAATTGCCAATTGTGCGAACCAACGGTTCCTCTCGTACTGGGTTGGATTACCATTGCGACGGCGGTGCATCAGTAGGGTAAAACTAACCTGTCTCACGACGGTCTAAGCCCAGCTCACGTTCCCTGCTGGTGGGTGAACAATCCAACACTTGGTGAATTCTGCTTCACAATGATAGGAAGAGCCGACATCGAAGGATAAAAAAGCAACGTCGCTATGAACGCTTGGCTTCCACAAGCCAGTTATCCCTGTGGTAACTTTTCTGACACCTCTAGCTTCAAGTCCTGAAACGCTAAAGGATCGATAGGCCATGCTCTCACAGTTTTTTTTTCTTTTTTTTTTCTTCTTTTTTTAAAGGGTTGTAGAGGTGTTGGGGTTTATGACCCAGGGAGGATGTCCGCCAGAGGGCTTCCCGCGCCGGGGTCAGCCCTACTGACGGTGCAGCGGGCCCACCCACTACCCAGTGATCGGTCAAGGAGAGAGCACACAAGCCTCGCTACCCACCCGGGAGTATCCGCCCAGACCGGCGCTACCAGGCCGCTGCGCCGGGGGCACCCAGCTCCAACTCAGGGCTTCACCTCCCTGTGGCTCCACGGCCGGGAGGCTGCCGCACCACAGTCACCGTGGTGCTACAGGGACGCGCCAGTCCCTGCTAGGCGAAGGGTGACCCCCTCACTCCTCCCGCACGCACCAACTGAGCCTGCCCCTCCCGGAGCCATTCCCCCCCCATGGCCTCGACAACCCCAAGGGGAGGCACGCGCTCGACCGTTGCGGGGACGCAGGAAGTACGGTTGGGATATCAGCATCCAGTGGGCACCCTTGCAGGTGGCTCCCCAAGTCCAGAGCTGCATAGCCCTGTGTACTTCCGTACCCCTGGGAGTGCGCGCGCTCAGTGTGTGAGTGGTAGTGCGTCAACCTAACGTCGTGCCGGCGGCATATGCACGAGGTTGTGGATTTGAACCCGCAACCTCAGACCACAATGTGCATTTCCAACCGGTGCTCAACCACTGGGCCATCCGCCACTCACGCTCTCACAGTTTTTTTTTTTTTTTTTTTTTAAACACAACACCCCCCCCCAATAGTGTTAGTGATACTGGTAAGAGCAGGTATCACTAGTACCCGGGCAGGGGCTCCAATCTATTGGTGGGGAGCAACACCTGCTGGGAATCGGGCCCAGCGTCCCAGAGTACAGGCGAGAAGAGTCAAAAGAAAAAGCGGCGGGGGTATCGACACTGCCCGAAGGCAGTGGCGCCTGCGACAGGGTTGGCCAGGAGGCACTTATTCAGGTTGGCCATCCCAGGGAGCCACTTCTGCCGGGAGGCGTGAGCACCCAGACACAGAAGGGGTTCCCCGGGATGGCGCAACCTGCGATGCCTAAAGGCAAGCCCCTCACTCCCCCCGAAGAAATGAACATGAAGTCCTACTCTAAGGTACTCCCAGAATCCTGACTCTGTTCCCCCCTCCCACGGGGCGAGGGGCCTCAATTCTACCGAGCTTACCTCTTCCTTTGTTCAGATTGTGTTTCTATATGTCACTTTATCCCAACGTTGTTCCAGCGATCGTCTCGGAGGGAGACACAAAAGATTTCACTCACGGCAATCGAAGACCGTGCTAAAAAGTATACCTACACATTCTAATTTCTTGCAATATTTCCCATCATGGTTCACCGCAAAATAGGAACTACATTTCTGATCTGATGAGGGCCAGATTTCAGCTAAAACAAGCGCAACTACATTTCTTATCAAAAGAGGGGCGAGTCTCAACTAAAACAGGCGCATCCTATCAGACTTTCCCCCCTATAACGCCAAAGCTATTCTTATCCAACTTACCACCCGACTGCATTTGGCCTATTCCTAATTACAACCATATATCTAACCGGTTTCTGTGTGGCGCAGTCTTGAGTGATCACAGTCCAAAACTCCTCAGCAATTACCAGCCCTCCCGGTCCAAAATCGTCACCCAGTATCGGCCTCACAGTCCAAGACTCGTCGGCAACCGTCGGTCCTGTTGCCATAGTCACTCCGAGAGGCCCATTGCAGCCTCAACGGTCCATTTCCACGAGCCCGGCTGATCGTCAATGCACAGCAACTTTGAATATGGCATCCAGGCTTGCTTGATGAGGGGTCATGCCGTGGCCGACTTCCTCTTAACATCGGCAGCGATAGCGGTTCTGAGATTAGTGAGGGTCATCGCACGTAGCGCCGCAAAGGTAGGGGGACGCTGCTGGAAGATGAGCTGCGTTCTGAGTGCCCAAACCGCCCCCACTTTTTTTTTTNAAAAAAAAAAAAAAAAAAGACAGTGCTGCCGGTATCTTTACCCCCAGGTACCGCATATCCTGTCCCTCCGGTATCACTGTCATACCTTGAAAACATTGTTCCCCAGCTACCTCTGGCGCAATAACTGCCGACTTGGCCCAGTTAACCCGTGCCCCTGTGTAATGTTCAAACTGTTGAACCTTCTCTTTGAGAGCCGTCACACTTGATTGTGTCACCTCCGAGATGGCCGCCGTATCGTCTGCAAAACTATTTGACTTCAAATCACGATCATTTGGCAGCTGGAATCCATGAATATCGCCATCGGCTCGAATCATGTCATGCAAATGTTCCACGAATAACACATACAGCGCCGGTGACAGTGGACAGCCCTGACGAACGGACCTTGTGATGTTGAGCGAACATGATCGGAAGCCATTAATTTGCAGAACCTTTCCCCAAAACCCCACATTTCCAGACCATGTAATAGAAAGCTCCAACGTACTTTGTTGTATGCCTTCTCGAAATCTAACAGCATCACTGCCAATGGCGGGTTTACCTGGGCTGCCGTGTGCAGCACCTCTCTGATCATAATGACGTTCGTCAGGATTTGCCGTCCTCTGACAAAACCCGTCTGTGTTGGATGAATCAGGCTCGGGAGCACCCTTGCCAGCCTGTTTGCCAACACCTTAGCATACAGCTTGTATGGGGCCGACAGGAGAGACACCGGTCTCCAATTCCGGATCTCAGCAGGATCTCCTTTTTTATGTAGCACCACAATAGTAGCCCCCCCAAATCCCGTTGGCATCCTTTGCCGTCCTGACAAGAAAGCATTGAACATCTCACCCAGCATCAGGCAAACAGTTGGCATCACTGCATGCAAGTGATCCATTGGCATACCATCTGGTCCTGCTGCTTTACGCTTCGGGAGGTCTGCTGCTGCACCTTCAATCTCTTCAATCGTGATGTCCGCCTCCATTCCCTCCCGTTGTTCCCAGGTCACAGCAGCGGAGCATTTTGACCAAACCTGCTGCCAGGGTTGTTCTCGCATCTCCTGCTGTCCCAGTCTTCCGTTTCTGTGTACAGCTCCGCATAGAATTGTTCCGCGTATTTAACAATGCAGGGTGTCGTGTTCCCCTTCGGGAGGTGCGGTTGGAACGGGTGGTGAAGTGAGTGCATCACCACTGTTGTTCTCCTTTTCTATGCCTAGGCAAAGAATGCAGTCGTCATTCTTTCTGCCAACCTCACCCATCTCACTTTACTTGCCAGCCCCCATCTCGCCGCATCTATTCTCTGCCACTCTGCCCATTGTGTCTTTAAGACTATCCATTGTGCCCACCATTCATCCTCCTTTCTCCCATAGGGGGGTCCGATCCCAATTCCTCCATACGGTGGGCGTATTCTTCGCCCGTCCGCAGATGTGCCGTTTTAGTTGCTTGCGCTCGGGTTTGCATTATTTGGGCAAGCATCCGCAGCCCCTGTTGAAAATGGTTCGACATCTCCCTTCCCTCCAGTCTGACCTTCTCCCAATGTTCCCAATGCTGTCGTGCCAGCTTCACATGAGCCAGGTCCTGGAACATCCAATGTGGCACCGCTGGGGGAGGAGACTTTGTTTCCACCTCCACAGGTAGTGCGAATTCCGTCAACAACATCTTGTGATCCGACAACGCAACCGGGATTACCGCAATTCGCACCATCCGGTGCAGTAGCTCCTCATCCAACCAGGCCATATCTAGTCTGCTTCGTTTCCCTGGTGATGTCCCAGTCCAGGTATACCCTTTCTCTTCCGGCCATCTGGTTCTGAACCCATCTTCCATTCCCAACTCTGCCATCATATTCTTAAGGGCCTGCGCATCCGGGCGTGCCTGCCCCCCCCCCAGGGAGAGTCCAGGCCTGGGCGCAATATCGTATTATAATCTCCAATAATTATGACAGTGTTCGGTGTTTCTGGGATATGCATTGGCAACTCCCTCCAGAACCACTTCCTATCTGTCACTTCCGACGGAACGTACAAAGTGACCACCAAGATTCGTTCCCCCTCCCTTTCCACCCAAATCCACGCCCATCTACCTTGTGTGTCTACAAAGAAGTCCAATACCTTTCCCTCAAAATATTTGGTGGTTATCACCGCCACCCCCCCCTCGTCCCTACTGCAGGTGCCCATGCTTGAAATCCCTGTCCCAGTTCCACTATCTTCCCCCGACGGAGTTTCCCTTCCCCCAGCTTCGTTTCTTGGATGCAGAGGAGATGAATCTTCTCCCTATCGACCAACCTTCTGATCTCCCTTGTCATTGATCGAATGGATCTTTCCCCCAGACCCTGAGCATTGAGAGACGCGATCTTGACCGTTCTATGTGATCCCATCTATCCTATTTCTATTCCTATTCCCAGTCTACGATGCGACTGTGTTACCGCGCGTTCATTGAACGCGCGTTTCGCGTTTAGCCTTTGAACGCGGTGAACGCGCATTCAGTGAATGGCGGTAAACGCGTTTGACGCGTTTGCGCAGGGGGTTGTGC